GGCTCACGCGGTCACCAGCTGTATGTACAGCCTCGGCCCCGACGACCCCGCTAATGGCCGAGACCGGCATACCCCCGGCATGGGTCCGCTGTCCGGCGCAGCGCTGGCCGCCCGCATGCTATGCTACTTTTGGCTGTATCGCTGCCCAGCGGGAGCGCGCTCCACGCTGCGGAAGAGGTACACGTTGCGACCCGACTGAGGAGTGAGGACTGCAACCGGATGGTGACGCGTCGGCCTCTGCGCCCTGGCCGGGGCAGGCGTGACCGACGTCACAGTGGAGGAACGCCCAAACAAGACCAGCCCACCGTCGGAGCAGCATGGAAATATCATGTTCTGCCTGGACGTCGGACCCGGCGGCCGCAGTGCACCTGCACACGTGCGGAGAGGGGCGCTGGAGGCTACTCTGGAGCTTCTGCCATTCCGCGGCGCGACTGCTGGCAAAACGGCGGCGATTGAGGCGGTTGGGAACAGCTGCAGCAACGGTGATGGCGGTGATGGCGACATGGCGGTTTGGGACTTCATCTCAGCGCGGCCGCCGCCCAGGCGCCGCTGCGCCCGGCTGCTCAGCCACCTACCGGATGGCGGGGTGGCCCTTACGGCCCTCACGCCCGTTCGGTCTGCGGCCACGTTGTGGGGTGGCGGTCGCGGGGTTAGCGGCGTTGGACTTCGTCCCTTATCCAGACTGCACCGTACCATCTGAACGGATGGATCTGCCAAGAAAGATGACTTCCAAGGCGGCTATGAGGCGATCACAAAGCTTCACCTAGAGCTTCTCCTTCATGGGGCCGGCCGGCCGTTAAGTCGCAACACCGGCTGCCGAGTGCCAACAGCTGCGTGCGCTGGCGCCGACGCGTTGTGGGCCGAGCTGCTGACGCCCAAGCTGCGATATCAACCATCTATGAATAAGTGGCAGCGGTGGCGGCTTGTCAGTTGTTAACGTGCCTTAACAGACGTTGCGAATAGCCCGCGTTGGAATCGCATGGTTGGGAACACAACGCAAGTAAAAATGGGCTTCCTTGATGAACCTACTTTTTAAGCATTGTAGCCTTTGTAATTTTGGATGTTTTGCTGTAGATATTATTTTCTACATACAGGGTGTAACGAAATTATCCGGACATCTTTCTTCGCGCTGTAATTAAGAAGCAAGACATTCTGATATTTTCCCTTTTGAATTATTATATAGCCACCTTTCATAAGAGCGCAGGTACACATTTTTGGAGCATTCCAGCCACTGGATTTTCCAGCACAGTGGGTTTCATATAGAGTAGCGCCTTACTAACCTGTGCCCGCAGTTGGGCGGTGCTGGTGGCGGGTGTCCCCTCATTCATCTCCTGATGGACAATAGTCCATAATATATCGACGGAATTGCATGGGAACTATTTCCAAGCCATAGCCCTTTAGCCCAGAAGAACAAAAAGGTCCTCTCGGCATCACTTCTCATTCTGCTAGGGGCTTGAAGGTGGTGCGCCGCCCCGTATGAAGACTGCGCGGCTTGAATCAGGTATCGGTACACGTTCAGAAACCGAGCCACCCTGTGCCGTCTGGTTGAGTGGCTCCAACCAATCGCTAGCCAGGATGTTGCGCCGGTAATACTCGTCACTGATAGTGCTTTTCTGTGTCGTCATGAACAGCTTAAATATTACACAGCAGCTGAACATGCTCCAGGTCTGGATTTTGGCCGGATGTTTGACGCCGGCGACGGCCGGCACATTCGAGCTGCTGGCAGCCCACACATGGCCGATTTGACGGTTCAACGGGTATCGCAGCTCGAACAGCTTCCCATCCGACCAGGTCACCTCATTCGTGTCTTCCTTCCACCAGTGGACACGCCCTGGCCTGAAGCCAAAGGTGGTGGACTGGTTGTTTTCCCGTCAATTTCATTGTCTTTTCCAGTTTGAAGGGCAGTAAAACCAAGCTAAAGGGCGGGTAACGGTGAATCATGATGTGGGACCTCTTATTATCTACCTTGGTAAGAATTCGAGTCAGTATGCGGATTAATTGGTGCCGTTTCCTTGTCGCTATCTTGACAACTCTCCTCACCACTTGGCAAAGGGCGCCTTGTGCGATCGAGGCCGGGCTGAGTCTGCCACCAAGTCCCAGCTTATTACGCCTCAGGCAGATGTGCTACTGGCTGCTGCTGATGTCCAGCTGCTGACAGACCAGCTTCTGGCTCATGCCACCATGCCACCAACACGTAGCCTTACTACGAAACGAGAGACTGTACTCCTTTCTCTCCACTGCCTTAAACGAAAACTATCAAATGAACCCGTCGGCGACTCGACTCTTACTCAGAGCAAGAGTCATTTCGCAAGGTCAGGTCACTTCTGAGTTTAAGAGCAGATACCAGAGGTATGCATTCATCCAATTTTCCAGCTTCTGACATTAAAAGAGAAACTGTGCGAGCAGATATGGCGAAAAAATAGATGTCCGGATAATTTCGTTACACCCTGTATATACTATATAGGCACTCACGTGCTTTAAATCGCGCAATGCAATTGAACCATGACAATGATGACAATGATAAATGAACTGAGACAAGACTTGACAATTATAAATGAACTGAGAGCTGACATGCCCCATGCTTTGTGTGTGTATGTGTGTGTGTGTGTGTTTTTTTTTTTTTGGCGAGTCGATAAAAGTGGTTTTGGACACTGGATGAGTTTTAAGGGGTGTGGTGAGGGGGGATGTAATTCCACAGACCTTCTGTCAGATTCACTAATGCAGTAGGTCTGTGCGGTGTTTAGTTATCGGAGCATTCTTTGAAAGTCGTGAATAGGGCCACCGAGTACCTAAAGCCGTGATATACCCCCACAAAAACTTCTTTTAAATAACCGGGGATAGGTACATGAGCAGAGTAAATGCTATTACGAACGCCTATCACAATGCTGAGCGAATAGGAAAATCCATAGATGGAGAATTGTGCCGCGTTACGGGTGTTCGGGCGCAGCCAATCCACCGTTACCCCAGCGGTGACCTTGACCCGCATCGTCTGTCTCGGCTCCAAAGCCAAACCGGCGTGGAATTGGGAGCGTTCGAGCACTCATGGTCCAGCGCAATTCTCCACCTAAATCCATTCCTGATACACATTTGCTTGCTCATAGTCATGTAAACCCGGTAAATTCACCCAACTTTCATATTGGTCGCTCCATAGACAGATGGCCACAGAGATCAACTTTAACCCGCGCCCTGCTGGGGGTCCTGGATTTCCACGCCCTGCTGGGGGGGGGGGTGTTTGAACACCCCCCCTTGTAACTCGGCTCCTGGGCCACGTAGCGATACGCGGAAGGCGGCGTTCGAAAGAGCGTAAAAAATAATGACGAAATCACTTCGGTCAATTTTTTGGTCAGGTCAAAGGTCAGGTCACCAGAGGTCATTGAAGGCAAAATTTCGCCGATTTCCAGGTCGAATGTCAAAAAGTTCCAAGAAGCCAACGCATAACTCGGGAACCAATAGAGCTACAGCGCCGCGGAAAAGCGCATTCGATAGCCCTATTAACGCCCTTTCTGAATATTTCTCTCAGATTTGACCTAACGTCAACGGTTTTGTCTGCAGGGGGCAAAAACTGCAAAAATAGCCGATTTTTTCGAAAACAGTTTTTCTGCAATAACTTTTGACCCAAGCCTTGTACGAGCTTACTTTTACCGGCATCGTGTTCCTCTCGTCAAGACGCATCGAATGAACTATAACTTGACCTTGAAAGGTCAACTTGAAAATTTGACCTCAGGTCAAGGTCATGACCTGACCGGAAAGGGTCATGTTGCATATCAGTCGATCCGTATCGTCGAGCTGAACACATTTAAGGCGTTTTCATCGCTCTAGCATGCCTCTATCAAAAGTTATTTGCGAAAAACTGATAGATACCATTCGTGACCTAAGATGACCTCAGGGCATAAACAAGGGTCACGGACACCATTTTCAAGTTCAGTGTGTCTAAACCACTTGTAATTCGGTGTTTGGGAGTGTTTATAATGTCTTTCATCCAAAAGAGGCGCATTTCAATTTTCTCCCATTGACTTATAATGGGGAGGTCGCAAAATTGACCTGACCTTAGGTCATCGATATCAAAATTCTGAGATATACATTTTGTACATGCTATTGCTCTTAGCAATCGCTGAAAGTTTCAAAGCGATCGGTCACTCGGTGTAGCTATGACAGACATTGAAAGTTTTTATGAGGTGAGGTCACTTCAAGTGACCTGGTGACCTGACCTTGCATGACCTTGGTCTGAAATTTTCACAACATGTGTAGAATTGATGTGTGATAAGGTATACCAAAAACGGCGGCGCTCCGCGCCGCCGTTTTTGAGATATTCGCGAAAAACCACAAGGGGGGGTGTTCAAACACCCCCCCCAGCAGGGCGCGGGTTAAAGGCCATTGTTGCATTCATTTAGTGGAGATCATTAAAGAGCCGTGACAGGCCACAAGTCGCGTGACATCATACGTGTAACGACCAATGACGTCGGCCAACAAAACCCAATGGAAGCGGCTAGCAGCGTGCAAGAAAACAGGGCGCTGCTTTCTAAATGTCTGTCGTGCGCCATAAATGAATATATTCTTTGTAGCCTGGCAACTCAGTATCTTTTTTTAACTATTGTACTAGTATTTAATAATTTCATAATTTTATAATTGTGCTTACGCTTTATGTTGATATTAGTGACAAATCCTTAGATAAAGTAAATCGATGTGATATTTAATAGAAAAATAGCAAACTAACGCACCATTCATTCGAAAGCTGGGGAACCTACTAAAAAGAACTACTAAAATTCCTGAGGAACCAAAGGATCAAATGGGGATTAAATAGGTGCCTGCTATTCCGTCGTGAAAACGGCCATTATGTACCTAACCCTCCGGTATGTACTTACCTAACCCTCCGGGAAGGAATGGATCCATCGATATCTGAATTATCGAGTACAGGGAACGACCATCTGCTCAGTAGGCTGCTTTACGAGGAACGAGCACCGATAGCCGGTCTGACGTCAGAGGACTCTGTCCACTCGAACTGAGCACAGGCCGGCTGCTCTCCCAGCTGACTGGGCGCGCCACTGATATTCAGTTCAGATCTGTCGATAGTGACAACCTCTTGTCCATCGGCCCGGGCAGATGACCTGCCTGCTAAGCCACAGTGGCCGGCCGAGTGCGGTCTGGTCTAACTGCAGTCTGGCCGTGGTCCGACGGTGGTCCGACGGTGGTCCGACGGTGGTCCGGCTGCGGTCTAGTTGTGGTTCGGTCGCAGTTCGGTTTTGGTCCAGTATCTTGTGCGGCATTGATATGTTATTGTGTGATGGAGGCACTTGCTATGCTACCAATGTGATGAAGTCAGCGACTGTGTTCCGCAAGTCTCGGTCCATGAATACTTAATGTCGCAGGCCGCGCCAACGCCGATGACCCTGGGTGGTGAAGGTCAGTGGCCGCCAGACTTTGACAGTTCCTTTTCACTGATTTACACGATATTTGATGTGCTTTACGATAATAAAAATGTGACGGCTGCAATGATATATATAACTTTTTTTTTGCATTTGACAGAAACTTAGCCCTCACGGTGTGTTGCCTATCGTGGATAAAGTGTACATCAGTTTTCCTTCAAGCCTTTGTAGTGCCTGTGACGTGTTTTGTCAGACTACTTTGCCTCCTGTCTACAGACCATGGCGGGTCCAATGCTGTCGTGTCCGCCGGCCCGGCCGACCGGCCACAGCCGCTGCCCTCCGGCGCCGAGGGCCGCCAGAGCGCAGTGTCGGACCAGGTCAAGCCGGCGGCGCGCACCTACCGGCGCCGCTGGTACATCCTGCTGCTCTTCTCGGCCATCGGGTTCGTGCAGTGTGCCGTCTGGAACACGTTCGGTCCCATCACGGTGGCCGCGCAGGCCGCCTTCCCCTCCTGGGACAACGCCACCATCTCGATGCTGAGCAACGCCAGCAACATCACCTACCTGGTGGTGGTGGCGCCCTACTGCTGGCTGCTGAGCCGGTACGGCCTGCGCCCGGCCGTGCTGCTCATGACGCTCTGCATGGCGGTGGGCACGGCGCTGCGCAGCATCTCCTCAGAGGAGACCGCCTTTACGGTGGCGGCGTTCGCGTGCAGCGTGCTGAACGGCATCGGCGGCGTGATGGCCATGGCGGCGCCCGTCTACCTGTCCTCGGTGTGGTTCCCACCGGGCGAGCGCACCACGGCCACCTGCGTGCCGGCCGTCAGTCAGGAGCTCGGCATCGCGCTGTCGTTCGTCATCGGGCCGCTGATGGTGCAGCTGCCGGGCGGCGCCGACCCGCACTCGGACCCGGAGGCCACGCGCTACTACATCATGCTGCTGATGGACGTGGAGACGGGCGCGGCGGCCGTACTCTTCCTGGCCGTGCTGCTGTACTTCCCCTCGCGGCCGCCGCTGCCGCCGTCGGCCAGCGCGGCCGCCGCGCCGCCGGCCGGCTCCTTCTGGCGCCGGCTGCTGGAGGCGGCGCGCGCGCCCGACCTGCCCTGGCTCCTGCTGGCCTACGTGGTGCCCGGCGGCATGCAGGTGGCCTACTTCGCCCTGCTGGAGATCAGCCTGGCGCCGCTGGGCGTGACGCAGGAGCAGGCCGGCTGGCTGGGCTTCTGGGCCAGCGTGGCCTCGTGCGTGTCGGCGCTGCTGGCGGCGCGACTCACCGACCTGTTCCAGGGCCACGTGCGCGCCACGCTGCTGGCGCTGCTGCTGGCGGGCACCTGCGGCTACGGCTGGCTGCTGGCCCAGGTGGCCGGCTGGCAGACGTTCTCGCTGCCGTCGCTGTACGGCGCCACCCTGCTGGCGCTGGCGTTCACGTACGCCACGGCGCCGCTGGTCTACGAGTACGCCGCCGAGCTGCTGTACCCGGTGACGGCCGACGTCATCGGTGCCGTCCTGAGCGTCGGCCTGAACGTCACCGTCTCCGCGTCGCTGCTGCTGCTGCTGGCCGAGCCGCTGGCCGAGAACACGCTGTGGATGAACGTGGCGCTGGTGTGCGCGCTGCCGCTGGGCATGGCCGCCCTCAGCCGCACTAGGGAGGTGTACCGGCGGACCGAGCAGGACTGCGGACGGCAGGACGGAGGGCCGATACCGGCCGACGCCGCGAGCGCCGCCGACCAGCCGCCCAAAGACACCGCGGACAGTGCGGGCATCGAACTGAGGGGCATTCACCATGTGACACAAATTTGATTCCAAGGGATCGCTGTTGAATTGATTGCTTATTTATCTGTGCAATGTGTTACTCGTTTTTTTTTTTGCTGCATTGGACGCATGGGAAAACATTTAAGATGTTTCTATTCAGTAGTTTGCCTACGCCTGACAGTCCGCACTACCTGAAGACATATTTGAAGGCATGTACTTCGAAAGGAAGTCCATGGGCTGTGGTACGCCATGGAATGGCAAGTGATATATGATGTTGATGCTATCAGGAATTCATTTTAACCTAAATTGAGGACATGCGCCATGCGCGTAAGACTAAGATTAGCTATTATTTACCTTGACATAAAAGGTAACTAAATACCGAGGACAAAAAGAGAATTGTGCCGACGTGAACGTACCGTCGTTGTTAGAATTTAGCCGATAGCAAAACAGCCTGGGCTGGTCTATCCCCATTGCATATATTGATATCAATATCACGTGCCGTTAGCTCTCTGCTCATTTTTTTTTTTTTTACCTTGACCGATACACATCGTCCTGGTCACTTTGGCTGCCTCGAGCTCTGAAGCCTCTAGACCGAATCTGATAGCAAATGTGATAAACTTATCGGGCACACAACAGTGATTCAGTGACCCACCCTTTTACACAGATAGAGCGAGTGGCTTATGGTATGCTTACTCAATTCAAGGGTACTTAAAGGTACTCACATTATGTGAGACAGATATTCATGTGTGTATGATGTAAATATTATCAATAGTATCCGCAAATGAAAACACTTTTTCAAAACGTTGATGCCAAAATATTTGTAATACAAGCCTGGCGGTTTTTAAATGCCTACCGAGCTGCCGTTAAATGACGTTACGACTAGACGACTGTAAAAGTAAACCGTCAGGTGATATTTAAAATCAGTTTCAGCTGCGGTAGTTGTTTGTGTTTGCGTCGCCCTCCCAGATAAGCACAGAGCTAACTGTAGCTGAGTCATAGAGCTATCCAGGACATAGGTATCTGAGCAGGCGAGTGACTCCGGGACGTCTGTAGCCGCCGAGCGGCCGGTCGGCTCGGCCGGCCCCCTGCGGAACGCCAGCCCGGTCCGGCTGTGCAGACAGGCTGTGGTAAGCCGCTAATTTCCCAGTGGTGCCCTGTGGGCGCTCGACTCTTGTTTACCTCCAGTCTCTCAGCCTCAGTCACTACAAAGGGGGCGACGTACCCAATTATACACTCAGCTTGGGCTTTAAACTCATGCTGTTACCAACCTAAAACGCTTTGAGGTGTGTAAGAAATGGATTTCTCGTAAATGCCTCCTCTCTTCTCTCTCTCTCTTTACATGCATTTTGACCAAATAATTAACATCTAGTCAATTCATCGGTATTCCAATCCTTCGTGTCAATGCTGCTCCCCCCTCCACCCCCTACCATCCCCATCTCCCGGCGCCCTCTTGGCCACCCGCGCCGCCGACCCGCTCCGTCCCGCCGCCGTCGACTCGGACGGACGTCGGCCAGTCGTGCCGACGGAGCCGACGGGGGAGCACCGTCGGAGCCGACGGGGAGCGTCGTCCGAGACGGCGGTGGCGCGATGGCCAGTGGAGGGGCGCCGTCCGCCGGCCGCCTGGCGCCGCCTCTGCTGCTGCTGCTGCTGCTCTCGGTGCTGTCAGGTAAGTCGAGGTCACTGGGGCTGACAGGTCAGCTGGGGTCACTGGTGCTCAGCGGCGCCGCCACGCTTTTATGAGCACTACGTACACCCGCATGCAGGTTAGTAGTAGGCTCAGGCACGTCACCCAGGGTGGGATGAAAATTTTCCCAAGTTCCAAGGTGCCTATTTATAACATCACCAAAACCTGAAAACTCTCCGGATTCGTCCCACTGATTGTCGAGAAGTCAACATTTTCATTAAAAATAATACAAAATGAGTAAAACGAATTATCTATAGTCTGTTCCATTCCAAGTTTGCAGCCGAAGCGCCGCACTCATAACAGCACGTGAACAACGCTAGTGCAACTTTTTATGCAAATGCGCCAACGGATTGGAAAGCTGCGCATTTGAGACTTGATTTGACGCTCTTCAACAGTCACAATGTCGTCAATTTTGTCGGCTATTATATTATCAATTAATATGTACTTAATTGTTAATATGTAAATTTTGTATTTAATATTTATTCTTTTCAAAATGTTCTAAAATCAGTACGCACTTCAGGGCGGTGCGGTCACCAGATAGCAAACAAGTCGGACAGGCACACAGGCACACGATGTGCTCGTATTTTTCCGCAAGAAGTGGAGGCGACGGGCGTCTGAAAATTGGCCTAGGTGCAAAGTCCGCCTAGGTATTGCCGTCGCCTATGCGCCACCGGACCGGAGCAGCGGAGCAATCAGAAGAAAAAAAATATTGAGATGGTGATGACATCTCCAAGAGAGCTGATAACCCGAGGTCGGTCTGCGGACGGATTGCAAGAAAACAAAAGCGGATGAAATAAAAATATCAGCACTAAATATTGTCAGTGGTGTGCTGTTTATGGCAAAGTGTTCAAACGACCTGATCTATCATAGCCGTAAACGAAATAAAAATGTTTACGCCAAGCAGAGGCTAGCACGTAATACAACTGGATTGGCAGATTTTAATGCTGCTCGACAGGATGATGCCTTGTGAGATCACTTTTTTGTTCAAATATACAGTTTCAATTTTTTTTTGCGTTTCAGGGTTAACACAAAATACGGAAAACGTTGGGCACACGTGTCTTCAAAATATTCTGGGGTAAGGCCCTGTAAATATCGCCGGGTATTTTCGCCGCAGGAACTCCGCAAAAGTCCTCCTTGATTTTTCATTGCTCCCCACGTGCGAATGGCGGGCAGCGCTTCGGCTGCAAACTTGGAATGGAACAGACTATAATAAACACCCAGCTGACCAAGGGAAAGACGGCTGTGCCTGCCGTCCCTCCCTTAGCTTCGAACCGATTGCAGTCTGCAGAATGATGTATGTAGTTACAGTTGCACTTACACTATGGGGGCCTGGGGCAGAAGCATGCCTTTCCAGCCGGCGAGCTTGTGATGGTGAAAATTTTCTTCGGGACCACCTTCATAAATAGCAATTTCGACTGTTATTTGAAAACATTTGTACAACTATTCTGTAGTCAGATTAATCCGAAGTCCTACTTAATCCTTTTGTCTGTTTAGTCGAAATGGCTTGAATACAATAAACAAAACAAAGCAACTCAGATTCAGACTCTGTATTTTCATGTTACCTATACACTGCCTTTCTGAAGTTGTAAGACTCCTAATGGATGCTAGGTCCTGCAAGGTTCATTTCCCTGTGAAAGCTCCTCTGGGAGTGAGGGCGGTGCGAAGTTGCGAAATCTGAAGACCGTGCAGAGGTTCACTTTTGACTTCATAGGTCAGTGACCTGATCTGACCCGAAAATGCGGTTGGTGTCAACAGATCCGACTTGATTCAAAGGGCAGGTATGCCTAGCTTCAGTTCTCTATCACCGGCGTGTTCGGAGCTATCGCGAAAAAAAAAAACTAGGAGGGGCGGCGCCTCCCCCCCCTCAGCCGGCGAGGTTAACCCGCGCACCTGAGGTTTCTCGCGGATAGCGGGAAAACCGCGGCGCGTAGCGCCGCGAAATTTGGTACGACTATTCTCTCATCTATTTTACACATGGTGTGCAAGTTTGAACCTCCTAACTTTTAAGGTCAGGTCACCAGGTCACTTTGAATGACCCAACCTCGTCACTTTTTTGCAACTTTGTCACCGTGCCAGAGCTACAGTAGATGTCGGAGGCCTTTGAAAGTCGCAGGATGTTATTAGGTCATTAGTAGCTACAATTTGTATATCTCGGAATTTTGATGTCGTTGACCTAAGGTCAGGTCAATTTCGCGACCTCCCCATTATAAGTCAATGGGGGAAAAATCAACTCCCTGTTTTTACCACTAAAACGGGTCGGAATGGCCCCATATACCATACATGACTTCATATACGTTCAACCTTCACTACCTTGAGGTCTGTTTTGCTGTTGGGCAGCTGTAAGGTCATGTGACGTCATCAAAGGTCACCAAAGGTTTTTTGCCAATAACTCCGTACAGGAACAAGATACAGCCACGCAAATGGTCTCATTGTGTTCAGCTCGTCAAGACGCATCAAATGATGTACATGATGACCTCGAGGTCACGTGACCTGAGGTTAACCTTTGACCTTGACCTTTCGAGGTCAACATATATATCATTCGATGCGGATTGACGAGAGGATCACGATGATGCCCTTAGTTTGTTCCTATCTTGACTAATTCGAAAGTTATTCGAGAAAAACTGTCTCCATATCTAGCGCCGCCATTTTGACTTTTTCGACCCCTGTGACGTCATCTTTGACCTGACCTGAAAATGACCTGAGAAAAATTGTAGACCTTGTCCGTGCGTATCCGATGCCGTTTACCGCTTGTCGCTATCTTGCTTCGTTTTCGAGATCTCAGGGGGGGGGGGCGGTCATCCGCCTCCCCCCCCCCCAGTCGGTGCGAAGTTGGCGCAGACCCCCGTCGGTGCGCGGGTTAAGGCTCTCAGAGACCAGTACAGGGCCTGCAAAGGGCAGTTTGAGACGTTTAGATGCCGACTTGGGCCATCAGAGCCTAATGTGGGTCTTTACAGGCCATCATGGGCCCTCAGAGGTCAGTGTGGGACCCTAAAATACCTGCATGGGCTTACCGGCATGGGAAAATACCGGCACGGGATCTGAGGGCCCGCAGTGCGGGGCCCTCAGATCCCATGTCTCAGATCCCATGCTCAGAGGCACCTAAAGGTTAGTCTTGGGACCCCAGATACAGAAATGATGTCACCAGAGGCCGGAGTGAGGCCCTCAGACGCCGGCTGGGCTCATGAGGCCGGTTTAGGGGCCCTCAAATGCCAGTGGAGGGCCCTCAGAGGTCAATGTGGGTTCTCATCCCTCAATGTGGTCGCTTGACCGCCACTGAAGGGCCCTCCGAGACACGGGCGTCATTTTACGAAATTTATTGGTAGGGCTCTAATGGTTAATTTCGGGATACCAAAGCCATTCTTACCATGCACCGCCATAGGGTTAATGTTAAAATTCTGAAATTATTGCTAGGGCTCGGGCACTACCAAGCCTATGTATACAAAACGACACCCATGCTCCGAGATCAGTGTAGGACCCTCAAAGACTGGTATGGGAGATGTTAATAGCTGGCGTGGGTTTCTTGAGCCTCGTGACAATCGAATAAGGGCCAGAGCCCCATACACCTATGGGGGCCCTGCCCATTGGTTGTTTGGGGGCCAAATGATATGATGGCCCCCTGATTAGCCTTTGGAGGGGGAAGGGCATGGTCCTGATCCCCCCTCTGCGACCGCCACTGCACTGAAAGTGCGAAGGGGGAGGGGCAGATACCCACATACATTGCTGGCCCCCAGCCTGTTTGAACCGAGGCAGGGGGCACGGTCACCCTGGCCCCCAGCTACTACGCCTGTGACGAACTATGCCGACTCCAAGCAGATCCGGTCAAGCGTTGGTCGTTTGTATACGCATTCTCCTGCACCTTACTAGTATTGTCTTATTCCTTTTCAGTGCCCGCTCATGTCCCGCGTCTCGTATTCAACAAAATGCTGCCACCAGGACTCACAGTTTTGTCTCTGATATGGTTTCCTTTATTGAGTGAAGGAAATTGCGGTCAATAACGCTGTAGAAACAAAAGGGAATCTTCATTAAAGGGCAGGTTGAATAGTCGTCAAGTTCTGGTGTTTAGGGTACCGGGTGGTAGGTACTTACAGACAGACACTAAAGTCAGCAAAAAGTGGGGGGGGGGGGCAGTTAACATTGCTGCCCCCCCACCCACCTCCGAAAGTGGGGGCCATGGCCCCCCGCCCCCCCTGTTCCTACGCCTATGGTCAACGGACGCGTCGAAATAAACAACTTCTAGCACTCCATTCTTCTACTCTGCAGATTTGAGATCACTACCACCTTGCTGACCTTGCTACCACCCAAGCCCTATATCATTATGAGCAACAAATCACTCACAAAAGGCCTCTACAACAAGACCCTAAAACTCTATACCACGCTCGGCGCTTGCTCGGCGCGGTTCATTCCCATGGTTGAGCCCAAGTTGAGCCCAAGTTGAGCCCTTTAGATTCTTTAGTGCCCTGGTTGAGCCAAGCGGCCAAGCTTCCTACAGGGTCTTTCATAATGAATGTTACTTTTGAACATTTAGCTAGGAGCTCTTAATTTATCACTTTCGCGTGAGTTTTATATGCGTATTGTTGCAAATTGATTAGGGTTTTGTCCCAAAAAATAAAAAAAATTCACAACGCCAATTTTCCTTCACGGAAAAGCAGAGTATGTCGACACCACTAAAACGCATTACGGATTACGGTCGACG